AAGGGTTTGGGCCTGGCGCTCCTGTCCTCCCCACAGGCTTGAGAGGAGTCTCGGGGTGCAGCCTGACAGCCCAGATTGTGTATTTGCACCTTCCTTCCTTCTGTCCTTCATGGCCGGCGCCTTTTGAGTCTGTCCCCCATGCCCGAGTGCTGCCCGTGCTGTTTAATGCTCACACCGTGGGCAGATTTCCCTGCCTTTTCTGTCAAAGCGCCTCATTCCAGCCACGAGGAGCCCGTGGAGCAGGAGCGGGAATGGCTGCGATGCTCTCCCTCCTCAGGGTTGTTTTTAGGCTGACAAAGAGCCCCGGGGATGCAGCCCGAGCTGCTGCCGCTGCCTGGTGATGCCAAAACCCCGATAAAGCTTTGGCTGCCTGGTGGTGCCAAAACCCCGATAAAGCTTTGGCAGCGGCGCTTGCCTGAGCTGCCACCAGCCCAACCCGCTGCCAGTTTGGCACCTGACTCCAGATTGCCTTTAAATACAGTGTGGAAACAAAAGAGACACCAAAGACCTCTCAAAATGATCATTTTTTTGGCCTCACCACATTTCCACTCTCCATTTTAAACCATGATTCTGGCTGATGGAAACGTAGCAATGCACATTTTCTACCAGGGTTGTGGCTGCAAGTTTGCACGGACGTCATTGGGCGGACACAATTTCTGTTTTTCGGAGTGTTTTTCCATGGGACTCGGCTGTTTGGCTGTGGTAGCCCAGTAGCCAGACTGTGCATCAGCTGGATAAATGACACGGGTGAAGATCTTTAACTGGGACAAGCCAGGAATAACATTTTTAAATGCAGCCCCAGGCAGGCAGTGAATGAATCCAGGCTTGGTTTTTATGTGATGGTAATCTTGGAAGATGGACCGTGGGTTTTGTTTTCACAAGTGCAACGTTGCTGTGCTGCAAATAAACAAAAGACCCAACATTGATGCTTTTAAAGGCAAAACTGCATTTTGTCTCGAGTTGATCTTTATGAGATGCCCAAATGTGGGCTCTCACATGAGTTGTGTGACCACTTGTGCTGGTATCACAGAAGAGAAAAAATCTGGTTCCTCTGGGTGATGCTTTATTGGAAATCTCATTATGCACCTTGCTAAGACGAACTGCTGGCTGCAAACATTCCAAATGCTGGTGGTTTATCCTTTTTTATTTCCCTGTGGAATATCACAGGCCATGGACTACATTTATTGGAGCCCCAGTGAAATGCAGGAGTCAGCAGGCAGGGAGCCCTGGCTGGGGCTGCATAATGCCATTTATTATAAAGAGACACAGCCCTGCTTCTGTTGCAGCTCCTGCTGTGAGAGGGTCCTTGAGAGCTCCAGAGCCTCTCTGTGTGTCCTTCCCTTGCACAGATCCCTCATGGAGTGCAAACCATATGTGCTTCCTTTTCCTGCCGTGCCCGGCATTGTCCGTGGGAGGAAGGGATGTGTGGAAAACAGAGGAAGTGCTCTCACTCCCTTAGGAAAGCTCTGCCTTGAGTTCTAGCCCTGGCCAGGCTGTTGGCATGGGCATCATGAGTCCTTTGGTGGCCTTTCTGCTTATATTGATGATTTTATCCATCCTGAAAGCACCTCCTCAATCCACTAGTCCATCCTGAAAGCAGCACACTGTTCTCAAAGTTTCTGTAGCAAGGTGAAGCAGGTTGAAACTTTCTGCTTGGGAACCACATCTAAGACTGAGTCTAAATAAATGTTTGAATGAGAATTTTGTTGCAAAAGAGTGATTGTGTTGTTTACAGATAGAAAATTTTGTCTTTGATGCCAGATAGCAAAACAAAGCCTAGCCTGAAGTGTAATAGATGAACTGGGAGCCTTTTCTCTGATAAGAGAGGCTTTGGGTGAAGCCTGAGGAAACCAAAAGGGGCGTGACATAATTCTGTCACCAAGAATTCCTGGCTGGGCAGGGGCAGAGCCAGGAACTGCTTTCAGGGAGATAAATCAAGTGAGTGAGAGCTCCAGTTACCACCTGTCCAGGCAGTGGTTGGGAGTGAAGGTCGTTCTGTGCTGCCCTGCTCCTCCTGAGAGCACAGAACTCCTCATTTCATCCCAGACCATCCCATTTCCTGCCTGTTCTCCCCGAAAATTCTCTTTGTGCATGCTTGGCACAGCTGGGGAAGATTGCTTGCTGGAGTAATCGGTAAGCAATAACTCATTTTTCTCTTTTTGTGTTTTCTGAGCATGCTGCTCAGAATGTTGCTGCTGTTGGATGTTGCAGTCAGTGAGGACTGAGAGAGGGCACAGCCCTTCAACACCTCGGTTTTCCCTGCTGTTTTAAGATCTGAATTCTCCTGTTTGGATTTCCTCAATCCTGTTAAACTTGGACTTGGCTTAAGTACCTCTTTCCCTCCAAGCAGCACCTCAGAGCCATTGTAGCCAAATCCTTTATCACAGGATTGATTTATCATATCCTAATTATCACAGATAATTCCTTCCTGTGAGTTTCACTCCATGCAACACAGAATGGCCAAAAGCCTATAAAAATTAACTGAAATAATTCAGTGTGAGGCAGGTGGCTGAGTCCTGTGTGAAAAGAGATTATTCACTTCTGTGTCCATCCACAGAGACGATGGGAATGAGAATCTCATTCTCATCAGAAAAGGAGATTTATTTGGGAGGCTGCTGGATAAAAGACCAGTTGGGTTACCCACATCCATCAAGTGCCCAGTGTTCCTAGCCCACAGAACTCCACAGGGACCTTCTCAGAGCTTTCCCCATCACATTTTGGAGACTTTTGAAAGCTGTTCAACACTTGCAAAATCCTCTGCCCATTTAATGACAGGTTTGACATTTTAAACCTCCTAAATGTGGCTTAAATCTCAACACTTCTGCCAGAAATCCAGCCTGGAAATCCCAAACCTTCTCCCCAAATTACCCTCAAAGCCAGAGACGGACCCGCTGCTGTGTGGGGTGTGAGTCAGCTGGGATGGGCAGCCTTTCCTCCAGTGCCAAAACAGCTTTCCCTCTTTTTGGGACTGAATTGCCTTCCCAGGAAGATCTAATCTGAAAGCCCCCTCTGTACATAGGTGGACATAAAACCTGACAAAGGGTGTTCAAAGTGGGATCTCTGTGCTTTTCACCCCACAACTGCTGCCTCCTTTGGAGACCCTCCTTGTCCTATCACACCAAATTTCGCCATGCTGATCATCGGGAAATGCTGATCCCCGTTCTCCTCATCCCATCCTGGCTCCTCATGGCCGTTCTGCCCTGGCAGCTCTCCCAACCCTCCCCAAAACCCTGTGGTCCTGCGGCTCCTCCCTGTAATCCAGGCGGGCTGCGGTGGGAGGCAGGAGCGGGAGCCTTGCGTGTCTGCGCTCCGAGCCACGGAAAAGAAAGATAAATATTGCCCTTGCATGTTCTCTCAACTACTCCTGAGCCCACGGGTTATTTCCTGTCGGCTTCCACGCAGATGCTGGAATTGGAGCTCTCGGGCTAGAAAAAACAAACAAACCCCGGCTTTGAAGCGCAGAGAAAAATATCACGTGGGATTTGGGAAGAGAGGGGGGAAAAAAACCCAAAAAAAAAAAAAAACCCCAAACCAAAAAGCGGCCAGCAGTCGGGTCTGCAGCATCCCTTGGAGTCTGATTTTCAAGGATTAAGCCGGGTTTGGTTTGGGCGGGGTGGGGAAGGTGTCCTTGCTGTGACAGGGGATGGATGGATGGATTGAAGGCTGCCAGGGCTGAGCTGTGCCTGCGGGTGTCACTGCCCTCTGCCGATGGCTCCGCCACGCTCACAGCTGCCTGCAAATTCGGATTTCCCAGGGTTTTTTCCCAGCTGGAGGCATAAAAGAGAGGCTCACTTCTCCCTCAGAGAAGATTCCCCCTCAATCACACTCTGCTTTATCTGCCACCTTTCAAAATTCAAAGCGTGAGCATCCCTTGCCCCGTGTGTCCCCTGTGTCCCTCCCAGCAGTGCTGGCACGTCCCTCCCTGGTGACTTGACTTCCTTCAGCGCCAAAATCCCTGTGGGATTTCCTTCAGAGCAAAAATCCGCAGAGCCTGGCTGCCCAATCCTCTGCCCAGCTCCCTTCTCCTGCTCCTCATCTCTCTGGGGAGCTCTGCCACAGAAGCACTCCTGGGTTTCCCTGGGTTTCCCTGTGTTCCCTGTCCCTCAGCCCTGCCCCATCACAGGC